ATTTCCCTTTACCAGCTATTTAAGGAATAAGGCTAAATCTTTTACTAATTTTATCCTTTAATTCTTTTTGAAATATTCTATTTATGTCTTATTCAAACAATTATTTTAAGGTGAAATATGATTTTTTTTAATTAATTCTATTTTGATTTTGTAAATTGACAGATAATTTGGGATTAATATTTTTAGTAATGCGAAAAGATAATATGGGAGGGAGTCAGTATGAAAAAGAATATATTTTATACCTCAAAAGAAAAAGAGAAATATAGAAACATTACTCATTCCGTCTATTTTTACTTATTTAATATAGAACTATTAAACTCGCAAACACATTAACCAACTTTTAGAAAACTCCTACAAAACTAAAGGAGATGAGAAAATGACTTCCTGCTTATTATTTAACTTCATTTCGCCAAAGAATCTGCAAGCTGATTATCCTAACACAATTTTTTCATATTTAGCTAATCCTTTCTCTTATAGGAAAAAAATTGTTTTGCTAGTTTTTGCGTAACATTTGATTATTTCGATCTTAACAAAAATGTCCTTAGAAACTCAAAACGATTGTTGAGATATATGTAGCCCATGAGAACAATGGGGTTAAAAATTGGTTGAAGAAAGACTAACATTCAAGATTCGAGCTGAAAGAAAATTATTTTGATAATGATGAATTATTCTTGGAGTTTTTGGTTACGATATTTGTAGCATATATGAAATTTTCACATAACCTAGCTAGGGGTGTTCACGGTTTGGATAAAAACCGATTCAAACCGAAAAATCGAACCAAACTGATAAAATAAAACTGAGTTTATTTGGGTTTGGTTTGGTTTGGTTTTAGATTTTTGAAAACCGGTAGTATTTGGTTTGGTTATGATTTTATTCGAAAAAACCAAAAAAATAACCGAACCGAACCGATGAATTATATACATATATTTTATTAATATACATACTTAATATATTATTTTTATAAACAACTATAAAGATCTTATATATATTTTCATTAAAATTTCTTTATAATTTACTTATTGAAAGCAAAAATGTCCAAGATGAAAATATTTATCTTATTGATTTCATGTATATGAGTGTCTATGACAATTCTTTGTGGGACTGAAAATGTTATTGTCTCTTCCTTCTAGACCAATATAGTGAATTTTAAAGCTTATGGATTGTAAATTTAGTGATCGAAAGTTCAATAATTTAAGTCAGTCTAACTATTTTTCGTTTTGAATGGATTAATGTTGTCACTTTTTCACATTTTGAATGAATTGTTTCTTTTATTTTTGTGTATGGTTAATAACCGAATAACCGAACCAAACCAAACCGAAACCGATAACCATCAAACTGATAAATGTATATTATATTTGGTTTGGTTTTGTTAATTTTAAAACCGATTAAGTTGGTTTGGTTTTGTTAATTTTAAAACCGATTAAGTTGGTTTGGTTTTGATTTTGACCAATAACCGATCCAAACCGACTCGTGAACACCCCTAAACCTAGCAAACATAACTACTATATTTAGCTATAGTTTTAAAATATTATCAAATATAACTATAATTAAAGTTTTACCGTAAATCTCTCTCCTTTGTCCCCCTCTCTCACCTCTCTATCTCGCTCTCTTGTTATATCAATTGTATCCTACCAAATATAGGAACGAATACATAGGAAAAACAAGAAGATTACCAATTGTATCAATTTATACAAGTTAATGAATACAACTGCATCACTCTAATGGTTATGTCAAACATGTATCTATTAGCCTATATTAGTTTGTGTATTAAATATAACTTGTATCAATGAATATTTGAGTTCTTCACACTTGCAATAATAATGCTCCCTATGGATATTACTTTTACACCACTTTCATTTTGCTGGATACTCAGTGTAACAATAAGAAAATCAAACTACATTTGAAATCAAAACTTTATAAAGGATCACAAAAGGAAGAGTCTTTTTATAGAACAAGTTGAGGCCATATATAATCAGCTTTTGAAAGACCAAAACCAAGTACTATGAAATTGTGTGAACATATAAGTTCAATTACATACTTAAAACATAAATGATTAGGTCACATATTATTTGTTGTACTCGTTTAAAAGCTCAATTAACGGTCCAGCTCTCCATCCTCTTATTGTTTGATTGTTACTAAGCTCTCCTTATAATAAGAAACCCCACAACCACCAAATGTTGGATGTTTACTCAAGCCCAAATGTTGAAATTCAAGATACATCATCTTATTAGTCCAAACATTATAAGAGACCAGTTGAGAAGCTTTAACTATCGAAATGAGAGAGTTATCATAGCAAGACTTAATCAGTGTGAAGAGTTGAAAGGTCACAATTTTGTTCCAGACCCCTGGTTGGATCAAAGCCCAAATATCATAAGCAAGCATACTACATGGGCTATAGTTCAAGATGGCAATGGAATCATCAATCAACATCAAACCCAACGCAAAAGTATATACAACGTTTCCATCTGGCCCTTCAATCTCTTCAAACATCTCACTTCCAAATTCGAATGAAAGAATGGTGTAATTACAATGGTTGCCCCCTCTTAGCGGCCAGTAATATGCTTCATTCAAATAAGCAGTACCAAATGTGTTTTTCACGTCTGTGTAGAAGGATAGTGATTCTTTAGGTTTAAAAATTATCCATGAGCCCCTAGAACAGGAATAGATTGATGCTGTATATTTATGCCAACAATCGCAATGAAGGTAAACAACTTTATAGTCATTAGTCAAGGGGTCCAACCCGAACCCCAACACATGGACATCATATATTATGGGTGCAAGGAGTGGGAGACGGAGGGATCTCACCTCTCTAGTAGCAGGATTCCACAATGCACACGAAATCACAGTATCAATTGTTTTGTACATTAAAAACAAGCCGTCCACAAAACCTATGAGGTGTGTCATACCTTTGAACGTTTGTGGATGTTTTTCAGAAATCAAAGTGATGGAACGAGAATCTTGATCAGTATCATCAGAGGTACCAACCGTATAGGTGAGGAGTTGTGGGGGGCTTCCATTCTTCAAGTGTTGTTGAGCGAATTTTTATAAAAGCATATCAGCTCTTGCTGACACATTTGAAGCGCAACAACGACCTCACTGGACATCTCAACAGAATATCACTTTGTATACCTTCAGGGAAATAAACCACACAATCATCCATTTTGAGGTTTCAACAAAAGCAATATTGCTTCTTCTTTAAATAGACAAGAAAGAAATTCCCCCATTCTTATCCTACATTTCTATTACCATAATTCATTTTACCACCATTAAATGGTATACTACCTTTAGTCATGCAAATCCAAAATACTTTGACTACATTTCTCATATTAACTTTTATTCTCTATTTAGTCATGGAAATCTAATTAATACTACATTCCTTCTTACTCAATTCAAATTTTGTTCCAAATTTAATCATGGAAATCTAAATACTACTTTCCTTCTTACTCAATTTAAACTTTGTTCCATATTTAATCATGGAAATCTAATTACTTTGACTACTTTCTAATGATACTTTGACTACATTTCTCATATTAAATTTTATATTCTGTATTTACGTATGGAAATCTATTTACTACTTTCCTTCTTACTCAATTTAAATTTTATGTTCCAAAATCCAAATACTTTGACTACTTTCTAATATCACTTTGACTACTTCCCTTTAGCAGTCGTTTAAGAAATCATCAATAAGAATTAATATTTGTACTAGTTTTATCTATATGTGTATTTTTTACTAAGAGTTTGTTTGGATTGACTTAAAAGTTGGTCAAACGTATGTTTAAATCATTTTTAGCTTTTAGGAGTGTTGACTAAGTTAAAAATAATTTAAATAAGTTTAAAATGACTTTAAAAAGTTTTTAAGAAAAACAAAAGCAGGACTATCCCTACTTTTTATTTTTAGACTTAAATGTTATTTAAGTTTGACTTTTTTATTTTTTAACTTAAAAACTACTTTTTTTTTAAGTCAATCCAAATCGGTTTTAAATGCATACGTGGAAAATAATAATAATGGAGGAATTCTTTTGAAACTTCACAATGTGATGCACTTGATCAATACGGTGTACACATTTAAAAATAACTAATTTTAAGGGTAAAATAGAAAAAATAATATTTAATTATTTATGTCTTGATTTTACAAATTGATAAATAAATATTTTTAGTAATCTGGAAAAATAATATTGGACGGAGGGAGTAAGAAAAAGATAATATAAATTGTGACAAATATTTTTAGTAACCAGATCGTGCAAGCTAAATAAAAAAAAAGTTATTAGAAGTGTATACGCTTTATTGTAATATGAATTTGTTGAAGCTCATGTATAAATTAAGACAACATTAAAGAATAAAAATCATTATCTTGATAGTACTATAAACAAACATCGATAGATGTCTTAATTAATATAGTAAAAAGCAACATTATAGTGAAGGAACAAAATTGTAATAGAAATTTTGAGTTTGATTATTAGGTATGAAAAATATATTGATAGGGGTGCATTCTCTTCTTTAATGAGCTTCACTCGACATAAATTGAGATCCAATGTGATCATTGGACACTATACAGATAATAGTATACATACGGTATATAAAACAAATCTTGCCTATTCAAGGAAAATTAGGGATTGAATTTCGTGTGAGAGAATTTTATTTTCAATCAAGCTTATTCATAAGAAGATTCAAGAAAACATAATTTCTACTTGCTATATGAAGACAAGAGAGAAATTAGGTGATATATTCACGAAGCTTTAAATGAAACTAGAGTAAAATACCCTTAATTATATCAAGTTGGACATTATTAATAATATCTATACTTCAACTTGAAAGGAAAAAAACTTTAATGAAATGTGCTATATATCATTTGCTCAAGTAATTTTACATACTTATAAGCTCAAATACAAACACTATATGCATACAATAGAGTTATAACATTAAGTAAACATGCTTATACTTCACAAATAAATGATTAGGTCGCATATCATTTGATCTTTTGTACTCGTTTAGAAGCTCGATTAATGGTCCAATTCTCCATCATGTCGTTGTTTAATTGTGACTAAACTCTCATTATAATAAAATACTCCACATCCACTAGCTTTTGCATGCTTTCCTATGCCTGGACGTTGAAATGCAAGATCCTTCAACTTGTTAGTTCGAACATTATAGGAGATCAGTCGAGAAGTTCTAGTTGCCAAAATGAGAGAGCTATCATAACAAGACTTAATAAATGGGAAGCATTGAAAGGTAACAAGTTTGTTCCAAACCCCTGGTTGGATCATTACCCATATAGCATAATCAGACATATTAAGGTCGTTCAAACTCAAGATGGCAATGGAATCATCAACCAACATCAAACCAAATACATAAGTATGAATATGTGGCCCTTCAATCCCCTCAAACATCTCACTCCCAAAGTCGAATAAAAGAACGGTGTAGTAACTAGGGCGGCACCCTCTTAGCAGCCAGTAATAAACTCCATTAGAATAAGCAGTACCAAATGTTTGTTTTACGCCTGTAAAGAAGGGGATTCTATGTTTGAAAATTCTCCATGAGTCCCTGGAACATGAATAGACTGCTGCTAAATTTTCACACAAATAGCAAACCACTTTATAGTCATTAGTCAAAAGGTCTAATCCTAACCCGAACACAGGGCGATCATTGATCATTGGTGGAGGGAGATGGAGGAGTCTCACCTCCCTAGTAGCAGGATTCCACAATGCACACGAATGCACATGATCAATTACTCCAAACATTAAAAACAAGCCGTTCACAGAACCTAAAAGGTATGCCATACCTTTAAACGTTTGGGGATTTTCTTCAGAAATCAAAGTTAGGGAACGAGAGTCATAACGATCACCATAGTTACCAGTATTATAAAGCAGGAGTTGTGGCGGATTATTCTTGCTACAGTTCAAGTGTTGTTGAACGAAGTTAGGGGTTTTGATAAGAGCATACCAGTTCTTGTGGACACATTTGAATCGCAACAACGACTTTACAGGACACCTCAACAGAATCTCTTTCACTATATCTTCAGGAAAATTAGCCACACAATCATCCATCTTAATTTAGGTTTCAATAGAAGCTCTTTAAATAGACAAAGGAGAAAATTCTCTCATTCTTATCCTTCATTTTTGTTACCATAATTCAGTTTACCAGCATTAAATTTTGTTCTAAATGTAGTCATGGAAATCTAAATGCTATTTTCCTTCTTTTCTCATATTAAATAAATTGTGTTCTACATTTAGTTATGGAAATCTAAATACTTTGATTACTTTCTCAAATTACTTTGACTATTTTATCTTTACCAACCATTTAAGAAATCAAAAATAAGAATTAACATTTTTTATTAATTTTATCCATATGCTCTTCTGACTAAATGTATTCATGGAAAAACTAAACAATGGAGGAATTCCTTTGAAACTTTACGATATTCATGCACGTGATTGATACGATTTACACTTTTAAAAGAATTAGTTTTAAGGACAAAATAAAAATAAAAATAATAATAATAATAATAACTAATTAAATATATCTTGATTCTATAAATTGATAAATGAATAACTTTAGTAATGTGAAAAAATAATATAAATTGTGACGAATATTTTTAGTATTCTTGACAAATAATTTAGGACTTGCAAGCTAAATAATAAAACATTATTAGAAAAGCACGTACGCTTTGTTGTAGTATGAATTTATTGAAGCTCATTTATAAAGTAAGAAGGCAGAATAATCTGGGAGACCTCTGTACTTGGCTCCGTTTGTCAGTTGAACCCTCCTACTCATCACTTTGCCAACCAAACCCTTAATCGCATCAGAACACAATATTTTAAACCCCTTTGACCATTGACCGAGCTTATGTGACATTAATATTGGTGAGTTGGAAATATGTGTGATTACACGCGCTTGAAAGCGAGTTAAAACAAAATTTTACTTTTAAAAAAATCAATTTAACAAAATTAAAAAATAAGATCTATCTTCTTCAACCCTCCTTCACCCACTCACCCACCTACCCCACAACTTTCTTCTTCTCCACCAGCCCTCTCTCTTTTACCCCTCACCACAGCCGTCAACTTTCTACTTTCTCCGGTCCATTCTTCTTTCTCCGGTCCCACATTCACTCTTTTCCGCCTCTTCTTCTTCTTCTTTTTTATACAAATCAGTAGCCTCAACTTCTTCTAAAATTTTCATTTGTTAGGTTTGAAAAATATTAGTATCATTATTTTGTTAGATGATTTCAACGAGGAGATGTGGATAATGTGAAGGATGATTGTGACTATTGAAAATTTTAAAACTCCATTGATAAGCTTGAAAAGGCTTAAAAATAATAAATGGGTATTGTGAATTTGTAAATGGTCTATTTGATTATTATTTTTTTTTAGCACTTAATTTTGTGCGTGGCACTAAAAAATGATGTGGAATTTCACGTGTAATCACGTCCATTACACGCACACTAACCGGAGGAGAAAAAAGCTTAAAATATTGTGTTCTGATCGGTTTAAGGGTCTAGTTGGCAAAATGATGAGTATGAGAGTTCAACTGATAAACAGAGTCAAGTACAGGGGTCTCTCAGGTCATTCCGCCAATTAAGAAGACATTGAAGAATAAAGATCATCAACTTGATAGGACTATAAACAAACATTGGTAGATATTTTTAACAAATATAGTAAATCTTAGTCAGCAGAACAAAATTATAGTAGAACTTTTGGATTGGAGTATTAAATATGAAAAACATATTGATAGGGGCATTTTCTTCTTCAATGAGTTTTACTCTATATAAATTGAGATTTAACGTGACCACTAGACACTATATAAAGATTTTACAAGTAAAAAGATTAAAATAACATTATTTTAAATAGCTACTCCCTTTATTTCATATTAACTGAATTTTTTATTTTTTTATTATTGAGTAATTAAATTATTCAAAGTTCAAGATGGATGTTTAAATTCTTTTTCATATTTGTCCTTTTTTTATTTTTTCTAGGAGATAAATTACACTATTTACGAAATTATATTTTTATGATTTCACAAAGAACAATAGTGAAAAGTATAATTCAAATTATGTACTTAAATGTATTTTTTTAGTAATATATTGCCTTACAAATTCAATTAATACCAGAATAGATGGAGCATGTCAATGCACATTTGGAGATATTACTTGAAGATCACATACATAAAGAGAGAAATCAGCACCCATTCAAAAATATATAAAGCTGTGTTACCAAATTTAGCTAAATATATTTGTTTTTGTTTAATGTGCAAAAGTAATACTAATATTCTAATCAGTCTTTGCTGGAAATTGAAACGCTTTCTCATTAGAAAAAAACAAATATTTTCGACAATAATTGAGAACGTAAGAAACAGCATATGTTATGCATTATAATCATATTTTTTTAATTATAGACAGATTAAGAATTTGAAGTTTATTAATTTTTGCGTTAACCTCGAGTTATAGATGACAATAATTATGAGTTCATAATCAAATATTTATTGATATTTCACAAATTTCTTAATATATTTTTAAAGAAGCGAATGTCATTTAAATATTAGGAGAGGAGCTCTAGCCATTTTATCTTATATTATCCGTTGAGCGAAGATCGCTAGTCAATTAAGGATTATTTTAGGTGAGAAACTATTTGTTTTTTATATGCAAATGTTTTTTAGTTTACGACAATAGAGACCTTTTTTCTTGTTAATTTCAATAGTATAGAAAATTAGAGATTAAATTTCGTGTAAGTGAATTTTTATTTTCAATCGAGCTTACACCTATAAGACTAAAGAAAAAGCCAAATTCATCAAACTGATAAAAAGAATAAGGAAATGTATCTTATTCCGATCTACTCAATATAATATTGATGGAATTAATATATAGTATAGATTAAATTAATCTTGAACCTAATTATCATTTGAACAAATAAATTTTTTATACTGGTAATATAATTTCTCGTTTGCATCTTCATGGAGTTTTGAATATACAAAATCAGAATAAAATCTATTGAATTCATCTAAATTCTGTAACATATAAGCTAGCTCCACCTCTATCTATAATTTAACTACGTACCCTCCGATTTTTTTTTTTTTACTTACATAGTACTCCATAACAAAATTATAAGTTTCTTCTAAGTGTGAAAATTACAAATTAAAGTGAGAATACACATCATTCATCATCGATCGTTAAATAATATATACATGCAGTATATAAAACAAATCCTTCCTATTTATTGTGTGAATATAAATATTTTGAAGTCAAAAACAAAAGTTGGTTGGCCCATTCAGAAGACCCAATAAATGATGAAATAATACTATCACTGCAAAAGATTACAGAGAAGAAAAATACCTCACGTCTACCAAAATCATGAAAAGGACAAACTTTTTGACAATATATCAATTATCACCTCAAATTTCCTCTTTAGCAAAAGCAAATAAAAAGAAACTTCTTATTTAAACACCCTCTTTAGAATAAGAATCACCTAAATAAGTAAACTAGAGTGCAAGATACTTGTCATAACAATATATTCAGTGTAATTATATAATGAATTTATAATTACACTTTGAAGAGTTTGAAAAGGTAAATATACACAAATCTTATTCATACCTTTATGAAATAAAAAGATTATTTCTATTATACTCTCGATTCAAGAGAAAAGTTATCAAAATACAAATGCAAGAAAATACAATAATAAAATAGTAAGACATTGAGAATTTGAGATAATAGTACACATCAAAGAATAAGAAACTACACAACTACTACATTTAGGATGAGAGGAGATGAGAGACTAGCATCCTATCTCTTCCGCAAAAAATGTGACAATACTTGCAATATTCCAAAATAATTTAATTTAACCTATGTTGATGGTAAAAAAAAAAAGTTATATAAATAATATGTTATATAGGAGTAATAAATTATATATTTTATTATCAACTTACTAATCCCACTTATTATAAACAACTTTACTCTAACACAAAAAAAAAAACTACTTATTTTTTCAAGTTAATATACATAAATTATACGCTAATTATACACATATTAATCAAGTGCATGTTGCATGAATTGGTCTCTACAGAGCTTATCCGAGCACTAGTTGTTAGCATATAGAAATTAAACTCTAATGAATAAAACTCTGTATTTTTAAGTTTAATATACATAAATTATATACTGATTATACACGACTATACACATATTAGTCAAATGCATGTTGCATGAATTGGTCTCTATACAGAACTTGTCCAATTTTTCTTGAAAGGAGATCACACTTAACACAAAAAGTCATTAACATGTCATATCACAATTCAATCCAGAGTGTAAAGCTAATAACCAATTCCTCCCTAACTAAAATGTTTCTCACAATTAAAATAGACATACTAAACACCAAAATAAAAATATTAAAAACTAATAGCACTAAGAATTAAACTAGGAAAGTAACAAAAACCAGTAGATGAAATTAAATTTACTTTGTTTCAAAAATTACCTAAAAGAAAAAGGGGGATTCTTGAAACTTGATTTTTAGTAGCTCAACTGGTTTAGCACATCGACCACCATCGATCGATACAAGTCATGTTGGAGGATAAGTGGGAATATTGTTGATCGAAAAAATTAAATTAGCAACTCTTTCTTGGTTTGCTTTTTCTTCTAGCTCTGCTCCTTGTAGGTTGTTGTTGTTGTTGCTTTTGTGGTTGTAATTTTTTTTCCTCTTCAAATTCATCTTCTTTTTTGTTTTCTCCTTGTGATTCTTCAACTTCATTTGTTTTGAGTTTCTTTAATTCAGCAGAAACTTCTTCTTCACCATCTTTAACAATACTAATAATCTTTCTTGGTCTTCCTCTTTTTCTTGGAGTAATTTGTTGTTGTGAATCTCCACTCATTGCTGATGATTCTGTTATTGCTACTGATAACTCCTTTGTTTTCTTCACAACTTTCTTCTTTCCCATCAATCTTTGTGACAATCCACTAAACTAATTTAGTCATTTTAAAAGCTTAGAAATTAGAATATGATAAAAATAGAATCTTGAAAAATTCCAAGAAATAAAAATTCTGCTCTCTTTTAGTATATATATGATAACAAAATCCAATCTTGAAAACTACCCCAAAAAATAAAAATCCAAAGTTTAAGGTTTCTAGAGCTTTCTTTTTGTACATATGATAATTAAAATCCAATCTTGAAAACTACCCACAACATAAAAATCCAATCTTTAAGATTTCTAGTGTTTTCTTTTGCATATATAAACTACCCACAAAATAAAAATTCAATCTCTAAGGTTTTTAATGTTCTCTTTTGTATATTATTACCTTAAAAATCCAATCTTGAAATTACCCACAAAATAAAAATTCAATCTTTAATGTTTCTAACTCTCATTTGCATATATAGCCTTAAAAATCCAATCTTGAAACTACCCACAAAATAATAATTCAATCTTTAAGGTTTCTAGCATTCTCTTTTGCATATATTACCTTTAAAATCCAATCTTGAAAACTACCCACAAAATAAAAATTCAATCTTTTAAGGTTTCTATTGTTCTCTTTTGCATATATAACCTTAAAAATTCAATCTTGAAACTACCCACAAAATAAAAATTCAATCTGTAAGGTTTCTAGTCCTCTCCTTTGCATATATAACCTTGAAATCCAATCTTGAAACTACCCACTAAATAAAAATTCAATTTCTAAGGTTTCTAGTGTTCTCTTTTGCATATATAACCTTAAAAATTCAATCTTCAAAGTTTTTGGTGCTCTCTTTTGCATATATTATACACTCTTAATAAAATCCAATCTTGAAAATTACTCAAAAACAAAAAAAATCAAAATCTTTAATATTTTTGGTGCTCTCTTTTGCATATATCTATACACCCTTAATAGTATATATGATAAAGAAAATCCAATCTTGAAAATTACTCAAAAAAAATAAAAAAAATCTTTAAGGTGTATGCTGCTCTGTTTTGCATATATCTTGTACCCCCACCCCCTAGTAATTAACCAAAAAGATTAAAGACACAACATACCCAAAGCAAAGATGATAAGAAAAAGTAAAAGAAATGAATAACTTACTTTTGTGAGATGGTAGAGCCAATAATCATAAGAAATAACTCATATGTTTAGCTCTTTTGGTGCTAAGCAAAACCTTTCATCTTTTCATACAAAACCATAGAGAGAGACTTGAGTTGAAAAAAAAAAACAAGAGTCAATTATATATGAAAAATATTAGAAGCTACAAAGCAAATATTTCCTTTTTTCTTGACTTATCTATTCATTCAACCTTCTATTTTCCCCTCTTTGCTGCCAACATGGAAAACAATAGTTCCATTAGAATTAAAAAAAATAAAAATAAAATATTATATATATATATATATAATATGTACAAATTGTAATTGGCTGGACCAGCTGTTTAGCAAAGAAGGGAAGAGATAATAAGGTGGAAGGAAACAAAGCGGAAGGAAGAAAAAAGAAGAAGTGAGACAAATGGGGGTACTATGGTCAAGGAAATAATATTAGGAATCGTTGGTACGTGAAATAAGAATAAATTATTGAATTATGTTATTTTGAATTTGATTATAATATTAGTTAATTTTATTATTATAGTATTATAATGATGTGACTGATTATCTCGTATAAAAAGTGAAATAATTAATTCAATTAAAACTCATGAGATGTAACATATATACAAAGATAATACATTTTTAGTTATGAATATTATTTAGTTTCAAGATTATTTTACTTCCATCATTTAACTATTCCATATAAAAAAATGAATAAATAGTAATAATATATCCTTATTTATCCTATATCACGTACAAACACATGTTAATTTCAACGTCAGTCAAAACTAAAATGGAGGTAGTGTGGGAAACCGTGGGCTATCGTTTAATTTTTTTAACTTATTTGTGAACGTATATACACGTTTGACAGAAGTCTTGTTTCTATACTTTTGACTAGAGCTTTTAATTTCAAATTATAAAAATGAAGTATTTTCAATATGAAACACTAAATCTCATAGTTTAATAAGGGTCTGATATATTTCTTAATTTTATCATTTAGAATTGATATATCTCTTATTATGAAAATGGCTCATATATATTTCTAATGTTATACAAATGGCTCACATTTACTCTTTTTCCTCTAATAGAAGTAAAAAAAATTAATTCAAATTTAATTTTTTAAATTATTTAAAAAATATATAATCCCATATGGATATATTTAATCCTCTTCAAACATATATTATTATTTTTAACTTTTTTTTTGTTTCAATGACTAATTTAGATTTATTATTTTGATGGTCAAATTTATTTAAGTTTCGCTAATATTCTTGTAAAATTTATTATAGATGACCCAATTTTTTTCTTCAAATACAAAAACAATATTACAATATTATCCGTAAAAAATAGTTTTAAATTATAATATAGCAACAAAAAAATAGTTTTAAAATGAAAGAAAAAAATAAAATAAGAATAAGAAATTCAAATAATGATAATCAAGAAGTCAAAAAATAATTTATGTCCGGAAAAAATTATAACATACCTTGAAATTTGCTAGAAAAATCATATATGCCCCTAAATAATTTTTTTAAAAAATCAAAAGTCAAAAAATATAAATTTAAAACTAATTTTTTCACTTCCGTTAAATGAGGGGTATATGTGAGCTCATTTTGTAACGGTAGGGGTATATGTGAGCTGTTTGTATAACGGTAAGGGTATATATGAGTCTTTCATAACGAGGAGAATATCAGCTCCAAATGACAAAATTGGGGTATATCATACCTTTTTCCCTAGTTTAATAAATAAAATTATTATGTAAATTTGAATTAATTAAATTAATAATTTCAGACACATAATAATTTTTTTATAACAAAAAAGTGATGAAGGTGTGGGGTATTTTTAGTGATCAGTGTCACAGTCTGACCATTTCTGTCGCCTTTGACGCATGTGGGGTTTTGATATTTTATTTTTTTGAAAAATAAGAAATTGGTTTAAAATGGGTCTTATGTTAAATATTTATTTGTATTAGATAGTATTTTTTTATTAATTATAAATTTATAATAATTAAATAATTTAGTGAGATAAAAATGTGTATTAATCATATTTAAGTACTATAGTTTTGTATTTTAATGTGTTATATGTCTATTGACTTGATATAAACATGATATGGTATAAAATATTATTTTTTTAAAAACAAATTGCAAGGTTGCCCCCAAGTATATATCACAATTAAGTTTTTTGAATTGTTTTAGTCCAACTAATATCAAAGTTATTAGTTTGACGAGATAAATATGAAAATGACAAAATAATGACAGAACCAGATTTTAATCTCCTTGCTCATATTTAGGTTGGTATATAACCGGTTTTACTCATAACTTGAAAACACATGCGCAAAAAAATTGTGGGCTTTAGAGATCATAAATACTATAAATTAGCAAAAGTCTTTGAGGATGGACACGTGAAATTTAGTGAGAGAGAGATGACTAATTAGGTGTGTGTGAACAAAATTTCATATCAATAACAAAAGGAAAACACATATAAGATGTTGGAATGACATGGGGTGGGTGAAAACTATGTTTGACTTAACGCAAAATGAACAATATTACAACATATTAAAAGTATAGGCAGATGATAAATGGTAACATCAAGATGTCGCATCATACTTTTTCGAACTCAAATTTATAATTTTAAAAATATGATAAATTTAATAAAAAAAATTATAAAATTTAAATTTTAAATTTGTCGATCCGAGTCTATTACCAAACCAATAAACTCTTTAGTTGAAAAACTTAGAGCAATAATTCAATTATGTACTCGTGTGTGCATGCATATTGCTAGCTTTGTTTCATTAGGCATTTAGTGGCAAGTTGAGTCTCGATAGAGGAGCCTATTTTTAGTTTATATATACATGTGAAATATCAATGGGACAAAAAAAAAGATTTTTTCTTAATTAAAAAACAGTACCATTAAGCAAGTGGGAGAACAAAGCAAAACCAATAGCAACTACATAATTATTAGATGAAAAGACATGTATCATCATTACAAATTCAGTCGGTTAGAATTACGTAAGTATTAATAACTTATATTTTAATCAACTATTAAATAATTTCTAATTTATATTTGTTTTCGAATTTGTGAATTCATATTTGAGTTTTTTATCCTAAAGTATATGTGTAAAATGTTTTTATGACATTAGTTTGCTATAACGTTATTAATATTCAGACAGATAACATCATTATAAGGAAATTGTACTTTTCATTTCTAAGTTGGTACAGCTATAACAAGTCAGAAATAATTTATCTATTTTATAAAGATAAAAATAAATTTGCACATATTTTATTTTTTCTTTTTAAAAATTCACTCGCTTATAAAATTACACTAAATGTATTTTTATTGTTATACAAAATCCTACCATTAAAAATATTACAAAGAAAACAATTATTTGACATTTTGGATACATTGATAGCATATTGCCCCCCCACAAGAATTAGTGATGAGATAGACACTAGGCAATGTATGACCAATGAATTTTTCAGCCTTAGAATTTGGATTTATAAACAATAAAATAATATTTAAAAAATAATAATTTTACCCCAATAAACTATCAATCTTACAAAATCGTTAAATCAATAGTTCCATACCAATGAATTAATAACATTTTTTCGAATCAAGTTATTGATTTTACCCGATATATGCACATCCCTAGTTGGAGATAGAAGATTGGTTTGGGTTAAGAGTGACAAAAATAACTATCTAACCCGTTTAAGTTTGAGTTGGTCATTAATACACAAATCAATCTATCGAGACGCTGAATGATGTATTTGAAAGCGAAACATGATATATCAGGACGTTGAAGAATGTATCCGATAGCGGGACGCAATGTGTCGGGAGCTCAATTAATTATGACCCACCGGAATTTAGCTATTAAACCCCTACTTTAGCCCATTATGGAAAAACAGATTCGGAATATTAACCATTTATGACCATCAGCTAGTAGCCCACTAAAGTAAATAAAGTAGTTGGGCTTTGTCATCTAACTTTCGAGCTAATGTCCAATAAATTGATCCAACACTTGCCCCTTCATGTCTTTATGACATACGGAAATTTCGTTAGTTTGGAAGTTAATTATTTAGATATACGTTAGTTTATAATATTACAAATCTTATCGGATTTTGGTGCGTCTAAATACTTCAAGATACATGTATCTATGGAATACATTGGGTCAAAATCAAGTGTAATTCGTTGTAGATACTGCATCCAAGTGGATTCACATGTATTTGAGATACATAGACAAATCTCGCTCGCCGGTCTCATATCCCACTTGCGTGTATGGTATCCTAGATACATGTTTCTGGTGTGTTTTGCATGCATTTGAGATACTTAAACAAATCTTACTCGCCTCTCTCCTTATTTCAGTATATCTTGTAGCAAAAAAAAAACATGTACATATCTAACTTGAAAACTAGTATGAAATTATTAATTAGTGAGATGAAATGCAATTATTTCAAGCTATAGGGGGAATCAGTAAATATGATAAGAATATTTATGTAATTAAGTAGTTTCTAATAAATATAAGGGATCAACACTTGTCAACCACAAAAAATAGCTTTGTTTTTTTTTTTCTTTTTTTTATTTTCCACCCGGTGTTCAATGACTATATTAAAATCTCAACTAAATATGACCGACATATTGAAAGGCCTATTACTTCTAGTTAAGTGAAACATTTTCACCATTACATCGCAAACCCATATTAATAGCTTTGTATCTTTATTGCTTGCCACTATGATAAGTGGGGTTTCACGAAATAAATTAATTTTTAAAATTTAAATAAGGTAAACATTACATATTTAAATAGCTAGTACTTTTTTCAAAAAAATTGACCAAGGGTAAGTTAGTAAGTTAGTAAGTTTGTCCTTTTCTTCAATTCAATTAAATAATACACTCAAAATTCAACAGTAGACGTGGTCTGCTTAGTGGTGTAGCGGATATGATTGCTTAGCTTTTAATTAGATGTTTCGAATTCGAATTTTAAGTATAATTTTTTTTTAATAGGGAACACCTCTTTTGAATGAGATCCTACATAATGTGAATCTGAAATAATCAAACTCTAATATAGAGATCGAACACTAAATAAAAATAGAGATGTGGTCTAGGTTCAAAGTTGGTCAAAATCTACATTCTTCAACCTAAATATCACTTTCAATTAAATTAAAGATGCCGACCTAGTAAAAATAATTTTTAAAAATAATCCCCTTATCAGATAAGGTTCAATTCTAATTCAAGATCTATGAGTCACACCCCTTCAAAATCACTATCAATATTTTTTTTTTTGGCTTCCGAATCATGTTTGATATTTATATTAAAGTTAAATTAATTCAGATTAACTTCGAGAAAAATATTTTCTATCAAAAACAATTTCATATCTAAGGCGGAATCCAAAACTTGAAATTAAAGGAGGCCACATCCTTTTGGTGGTCAATATTGTTTTTTATTTTGTATGAACTTACTGATTGGATATTTTTTGTCAAATAAACTTTTTCTGATTTATTTAAAGTCTATATACACACACATACATATTATATACATACACACATCGAGAAAAAAAGCTGATTTGTTGGGAGGAAGACTCCAAAAAGCAGCATCACTGTACTTTATTTTGGGCCACAAGATTTGGAGAAAGGCAATCAAAGGGAGCAAGCTCCTTCATTGGAATTTTGTAAGTGATTTGATAGATAATTTTGCACAATTTGGGAAGGTGAGCTTGTGGTTGTGGATTTAAGATTTGACCTTTGTAAGTTTATTAGGTTGAAAAAGATTTCACCTTTTGTCTGTATTAAGAATTTGAGTTAGGGGTATTTATTCTTGATGGCTTGCAATTTTATAGCATAATTTTGGGAGTGAAGGAGGTGAAAAAGATTCAATCTTTATCACCTTTTAGACTTCTAATCTGTGGTTCTGCAGGTGGGGTTGTGTTTGATTTTGATTATTTTGTGTTTTCACCTTTCTTTTTTTTTAATAACAAGATTAGTGATGAATTTGTGGATAATATTGTTCTGATGCAATTTTATAGCATAATTTTGGGAGTGAAAGAGGTGAAAAGGTAGAAAAAGATTCAATCTTTATTACTTTTTAAACTTCTAATCCATGGTTCTGCAGGTGGGGTTGTGTTTGATTTTGATTATTATGTGTTTTCACCTTTCTTTTGTTTAAAACAAGATTAATGATAAATTTGTGGATAATGTTGTTTTGATGCAATTTTTGGTTAAAAACAAAACAATTTGTGAGTAATTCATATGAAGCTTTTTTCTTTTTTTGTGAATCTTTATGTTTCTTGTTCGTGTGATCCCCTCTATGTTTGGAATAAATTACCTTTTAATCCTTTTTGTAAGGTAGTGTAGTATTCTTTTTATAGCCTTGATTCTGTCTTTTCTGTTCCTTGTATCAAGGTATTCTGTTCCTGGAATTCTGGTTTTTTGTGGTACCTGACAAAATCTTCATGTCCATTTATGCCTTCGGTTTCGGTTACGGTTCTTGTTTTGTTTTCTTTACAAACTATTAGTGCTATATGATTGTCTGATTGGAAAATGAATGGATGTATGTTGTCAGCCAGATCAAGATACTCGTGAAGGCACCGTGTTGAGTAGGGATTTGAATTGAAACACGGTTCCTAGGCCTACGGGGGTGCCAGATTTACGGTTCTATGATCATGTTCTTGTTATATGAGTACATGGTGAAGGATTTTAGTGAGGGATAAGCAGCTACGATACATGGAGAATTCACGTGAGTTTCTAAGCAATGGAAAACCAGCTGATCCTGGTCTTCAAGTTATAAGGCACCCCTCTTACCAATCTTGTGGGAAATTATCGTTATCTTGGTTTGATATTAGAGTTTTTTACATCAGAATCAGCAATTTTATGGTCGATGATTCAACCCCAGAAAGTCTTACGCTTAACCATATCCCTCTAAGCCCCGATACGCTGCTTGAAGTAAATGGTAAAAGATGTTCTGTGTACTCAGAAGGAGCCTCTTGCTTTCTTCGAAGGGGCCGTGTTGATAAGAAAGCTGAAGAAGCTACATTTGTGAGCACAGATAGTATAAGAGTGACTGGGAGTGTGAACTTTGAGGTTTCGTATAAAGATGATCTTTTTCTCTCTGGGACTTTGGAGATGGCCAACATCAATGATTCTCAAAACTGTCTTAGGAGATGGAGCATGAACTGTGAATCAGTTATGAGTGCTGGCACGGGATTTCTGAAGGGAAAACACATTGTGGGTTCTGAATCATTGTCACCGACAATTGAAGTCTATGTTACCGGTTGCTTCGCTGGTACACCTATCATCTTAACTAAGACTTTGCAGCTAAATCACAGGAAGAAGCACCAAAGAAAGGGTATGTTAGACTCCATTCCGGAGCATGACACATCTGAACAGCATAAAGAAGTCTCATCTGGACATGATCTGCAGGTATTATTTGTTCCTCAGACCTTTTTTTCTTATGTAATCGAAATCTTAAACATGCAAAATGGTTGATATGGCATATGCTTACAGCCAAACTCCTTACATAGTTAACCAATAGGTGGAATGAGACAATCAACATCATTGCCTTCAGTTTATTTAGTGTCTTTCTGATATTTTTCGAGAGACCTAAAAATGTTGTGGGATCTGTCTTCCTCTTTGATTCAAACTGAATGTGAAGTTATTTTAGTTGTGAAAACAAGCTGAAAAAGTTGAAAGTGGGAAAAGAGACTTTTAAAAATACATTGGGGCTTGTCATCTTTGAAAGTTTCCTAATGGTTAGAGCCTATGTTGCTCCGACTCTTCAAAACTGTCACTAGGTGCGTGTCAGGTCCTTCAAAAGTAGTGTAATTTTGGAGGATCTGACATAGGTGCGGCAACATTTTTGGAGAGTCCGAACAACTTAGGTTAGGACTGCACAAATGATCAGCTAAAGTGACTTGAACATTTCTACAATTTTTCTTTTTCAAATGACAACAGGGGTACACTATACACAATTTCATTTGTGCGAATTGTATTTAAAAAATTCTTATACGTTAAGCCCCAAAATGTTTACGTCTCTTTTCCTTGTTGGTGATCTATCAAGAAGTAATGCATGATATCTTATACACAGCTCTTTCCTCAGAATTGTTATTATTGATTGCACAGACACCTTCAAAATATATGTCTTCTAACCAAAGGTAACTACATTAATGGTATTCCATTGACAGAGTGGGGACTAATCAGTAAAAACATGACCCTGACAACTCGTCAGTCGTCATGGTTTACTCTACCATTGCATCTAGCTTCATAATGTTTCATACCATGAAACATGTTTATTTAATTTTGTTGCGAGCTACAAAAAGTTCGCATCTTTAAGGAGAACTACCTGACACTGGAAATAGAATCTTATCCTAAACATGTCAGAGGGTATGGGCAGCTCATACTTTTAAGTAATTGTTTAATATATAATTTCTCATTCTTTCTTATTGCATTGTCCCTACCTTCTAGAAACTGGCATGCATGGGAGTTTTTCATCAGGATGGCAACTAGATGGGCTGCCATCTTATTCTCATTTTCATTCCATTTCAGCTCATCAAGAGTACTTGACCATTCCGGTGTCTACTTTGAGCTAATTAGAATAGGTTCTTCCGTCATAATCTCCATAAATTAGATGGACTTTTTTGTAGGTGGTCTGAATGTGTATTTATCTCGAAACTAAATGTCAGATGGAATACAACAATAATAACTATGACTCAGTCCCAAACAAGTCAACGTCAGCTATATGAATCCTCAATTTTTCATTTGAGCTCATTTCATATCATCATCATATTAAATAAAATAAAAGTGAGAAATATGTCCAATATATATTGAAATTATAATAATAATATTAAAAGTTCTCTAACGAGTCTAAAACAAAATCCTCTACTAGTAGTTATCACATGTATGGATTTTTTTCTTCCATTGTAACCTATCTTTTGTTAATTTTCCATTGTTACCGAGCATTTGTAGCTCTTTTGAGAAAACTTCCTCCCAATTGTCTCTCAGTTGGACAATATTGAAGTGTCAGCTGCAAAAATCTAAGGCCATCCATCTTTCATCCATGTGTGAATATTCTCATGTAGATAATTGAGTGTGAATTCGTCACGTGCTATCCATCTTTCATGATTAACTTTAGAAATGCTATGATATATGAATTTTGCTTCTGATGATATCACTTGGCTCCTTGCTCCGATGTTGTGTGATTGATAGTGCCATCCAGTTTTGTTCTTACATTTTTTTTGCACTCCATATGACAACCTTAATGACATTTGTTTCTTTTGGGATATCCAATCCATTACATGACGCATATTAGCTTGTTATACGTCAACGTTGTTCCAAACTCAAGTTGACCTTTCTTAAAAGTAAATCCAAAGTTTGAAATTTTCAGCTCATGCGTAAGTATTGCCTATGTGCTGCTTTAATTTTGAAGTTGACAAAAATTAGTTGCAGTTCATCTACACTCTACAGTTTCTGATTATTAAGTTTTCTGTGTCGTTTCGATTGAAACATATTATCATGGCAGTGGTTGGTTTTAGTAATTCTTTAGTACTTATTTATTTTGAACCACAAAGTAAGTTCAACAGCTGCAATTAATTAGATGAATCCCACAGCTTCTCAGACGCGTAACTACGTGATGGTAACTGCACAGCTTCTGAAGTTCATTTTGTGTTTCACAGGTAACAGAATACAACAGAAACTACAAACCAGAAAGCGAAGAAGACTACAACAGCATGTACTGGGGACGAACAGAACTTATGGATGGTGAAGACGGAGAAATGTCCTGGTTCAATGCTGGGGTCCGAGTTGGTGTTGGGATTGGCCTTGGCATTTGTGTAGGAGTTGGAGTAGGAGTTGGTTTATTAGTCCGTACTACACGAAACTTAAGAAGGCGCCTTATGTAGTTACATAGTATACATATAAAGGCTAACAAAAGACAGATACTTGTTTTAAGAATATATTGTACTTTTTAGACATTTTCGACGTTGCTAACCATTTTCTTTTTTCATGTGTAATCTGTTTACTGCATTTTGGTGCTGAGGAGTGCAACAGTTGCTAAAGCTGTATGGACATATGTGGTTTTAGGTAACATTATATCATGTTGAGATTGTTATTTAATGTGTAAATATTTATTTTGACAAAAAATAGGACGGATTTTCATATGAGAGAACCTTATAGCCTGGTATTTGTGCCTTTTAAGCAATGATAATATATGGTGTCTCATTTAATCAGTACAGCTTGTCCTTATGACTCAATATATGGGGTGTGCAATATTATAATAAATTATGTAAATAGTAGATGTTGAAGTGTATTGGAAATGTTTGCCCAACTATAGACGGAAGATTGATACAAGACATGACACAACTTCAACTAACGAAGGCCAAAGATTTTAACAGACAAATCTAACAACCTCTACCACAGATTTTAACAACCACAAATCTAACAACCTCTACCACGAAGCGTCAAGAGTAAAATCTGCATACATCTAACAAACTTTTTGAAATAAAGAAGTTAAAGAGGTAGAGGGGGGAATAGGAAATGCTTAAAAATTTAGTACTTTTTGATTTCTGCATAAATCAAAATACAACCTACAATCAAAGTTCATCTGAAACAAGCTAATGTCTGAGAACATGATCTTACATCCCTCATTATTTATTTAAACTTAGTTAGGCATATAAGAGACTGAACTTTGTCAGTGGAGCAATCATTTAAGCTCAGGCAGTGGCTGGTAGAGCAAGAGATTAAGGTTCTGGAGCAACTTCTACTGCAGAGTAACTATCATTGCCACCGGGACCAGGGGGGTGTTTGTCCTTACCCCAAAACTTGGCGACCTTCACATCATCTTGAGCCATTTGCCTTGAGAACTCCTCGTGATCATAATTCAGTGTCGTCGCTGTTCCTCCAAACTCAGTAGGAAGATTATCCACGTCGAAGTATGACTTCATCAGTTCCGCGCTATCCTTGTTCTTTGGATACACAAACTTGACCTTTTGAAATGTTTTGGGATCCATAAAGTATTTGACAATCTGGAAAAGTAAAAAAAAGATGAGCTAGGTTTGTTCAACTAGCAGGAGGAGGTAAGAAAAACAAAGAGGACTAAAAACAAACCCTCCAAAATGTTTCAAAAAGTCGCGGTGGATTGTACAAAAGTGCTGCAGCGAGTCTCTCAGGGTAGTGGTTTTGCAAAATATTGATGGTCTCGCGAGCAGATTTTACAGGAACATTATTGGTTATAGACCATCCAGTGTAGTCAATTAACCAGGCCATCTGTTCTTGACCTTCTGGCAGATTAAAAATGGCATTCTCGATTAGATACACCAAATGCTTCATCTGGTTGTCTAGTGCTGCTGTGTTCTGCAAATATGAGCAACAATTTTAAGAATTTCACAAAATGGAATAGGAATTAAAAATATCAAAAGAAAAGTTTTTGAAGATATCAACTTGCTTGTACATTACCTGCATTCCTGGCCGCAATATTAGGACTGTCCTGCCATGGCGGTCACGAAAATTTGCTTTAAACACCTTCCCAGTCTCACCTTCTTTCGCTACTTCATTCTAACAATGCAACACCATTTCATGGTCAGCATAAGCAATTGTAAACTAGTATAATATTTTACAGGAAATTGGATCTGCAGAGGCCTAAATATGAAATTGGCAGAGCATAGAATGGTAAGGCAAATTGATTGTCGAGTGGTCAGTACAGTTCCAGTATCTCCTTTAGAATATCCACACAACATTGCAAAAGACTCATACTGCTTATATTTCAATATTAAAACTGGTCATGGTTATTAGTGTGACCTCTTATGTCCTCAAGGAAGTGGCCCAGTGTTGAGGCATGGAAGTCAAAACATGGAGATCCCAAGTTTGAATCCCAGTTACAACAGTAGGTGCGCGCCCACCAGCTGTAACCTTGGTGGCAGGACCTTGGTACTATGCTTATGGACTGGATAGTTCACCCCATAGACTAGTTGAGGTGCGAGCAAGCTGGTTCGAACACCACTAATATAAAATATAATAATTTTCCAACTAGATTTTTCATTCTAGCTCTCACTAACAAGCTTTTTTTTGTTCGATATGTAGCTCTGATAAACAAACAAGTTATCAACAAAAGATAACCACATTAGTGCAAACAACAAGAGATAACCACATTAGTGCAAATCTATTGTTCCCTTACCCAGCGAATTTCTTCAGGTTTAAACGATAATCTCCATTTAAGCGTCTCCTCCAACATCTTCTTTGCTTTATCTACATTCCAGTTCCGTGCTTCCAAATACCTTTTTAAACATGCATCAGTGCAGAACTGTGCGCTGCGCCCTGAGAGTTGCCCCAGGGAAGCCCTAAGCTCCTTAACCTAAAAAAAAAAAAGACACGCAACCTCTAAGAGCTTATACAGGATAAGAACAAGCTAACATAAGCCAATGCTTGAAAAATTCACTCTATATTTATCATCCTCGCCATGCAGCATCAAGAGGATTCAATCATCTTTCGTGAAACATTCGTAGGATAAGTATTAATTTTTCTGATAAAGTAAAATATTTTGATTCATAAACATGGCCAAAACAGTTGTATACAAAGGGTATACCAAAAAGTAAGGATAAGTATTAATATGCAAGGACAATGCATGCACAGAACATGGCCAAAACAATTGTATACAAAGGGTATACCAAATAGTAAGGATAAGCATTAATATGCAAGGACTACACGTGCACAGAACACCAACACCTCTTCCACAGAGACAATGATAAGAAAACAATTCCCTAAAAATGTAGAATCATAAATACATGAGAAATCCAATCTATAATCTAATTGAAAGCAAGAGGATATTAACATACAAAGATAAACAACAGGACTATTGGTTACCTTGTGCTGCTGGTCCTCAACCCCCTGTTCACTATTAGAGTGGTTCTTGCGACGAAACATGGTGAATGCTACTATAATTCGTCTCTTACTTGAGCTTTACCTGAAAAAATGATTAATTAAACAAGTAACAGATTGTTAATAGTTAATTTACCCATGTAGCAATGCAGATGTTTTTCTCACAGACAAACTGCCGACATAAACAGACAAGGGGAATTGGCTTTGGTAAGCAAGAATGTTGTAACCAGCCTTTTATTTGAATAAAACACTTAAGATTTGTAACAAAAATCTCTACACGCAGTTTATTGCTTCTATAAGAATCACTACAAGACAAAAAGTCAAACATATTGCCTAATCCCAGATAGGCTTTTCCCAATTACAAAACAATTTACCATCGATATCAAAGAAAGATAATGTCGCAGTCTAATATGCTTCCCCGATCAACATTTATATGTTTTGTCAAAGAGGATAACGAAATTGAGAGGCAGAAAACTTGCCTAAAGTAAATTGCTAAAGGCGACTGAGTTATTACAGGTCCAGAAACCCCCATCAGGTATTGTCAATAAACACATATCATTTTATCAAGTTGTCCACTTTCAAGAATCAGATGCATCAGCAAGTATAAAAGTAAAGTGCAGATTCTCACGACATGATAGGTAATTAGGTATTACTCTGTATTTAGAAGACAACTTGGCAATAGATTTGGGACGAGATCCTAATAAGTAATATGAAGAATGCTCAATGCATCTTTCACTAGGGATCTTTTTTATCAGGAGTTACCAGCTAATTCATGAAAGTACAAGAATCAGAGCAGCAAGAACACAAAATATTCACATTACCTATAAAAAAAATTGACATATCATATAGCATTCAACCACCAAGACTCCCCACCAAATAGGGATCAATTTTCACTGCAAGCACATACGCTTGCACTATAAAACTTGTAGTTTGCAGTTTGCCATGTTTTCATAGAATGCAACAAGACCTCAAATAAAAAAATGCTCAAGACTTCTACTAATTTAAGGTAAAGTAGACTTGAAGTGCTAAGGTATATCGCACAAAAAAAAAAAAATATCACATTCATTAATTAACGTAGGGTAAATTAGTGTCATGCATTCCACACTTCTAGCCTATGTTTTTATAGAACCACATTGCGTTCACTTGCTTTCAAGCACAAAGGAACTATTTTTATCAAGTAATAATTCAAATACAAAGGTACTCGCAACTCTTTTTGATAAACAAACACTATTGCAAACTTCTTTGATTTCAACTTATCAAAACATGGCTTCTATATAAACTGCAAATCGCAGCAAAATTAGTTACTATGCTTTCTTCTTTTTTTAAGTGCAAAATTCATCCTTTTGAGTATAAACTTTCTCAAAACAAATTTTCATTATTCATCATTTAAAGAGAAAAAGAACTATCATAAGGTCAAAGTCTGGAAGAAGTACAAGTTAGGTGGTAGACCAACAAAAATCACCAAACATAACCTTAGCCGGGGTAGCCTCCTGCTGCTTGACTCATGATCTACCAACAATAGAGAGGTGATTCAAGAATAAGAACAATCTTTTCGTAATTTTCTACTTCAATTAGGGACTACAAGATTAGAAATATTGGAAAGAAAAAAAAAACTAAACTTCCCCTAAGCCATCACAAATTTAACACACCCTGTACAGAATAATCTGCTGCCACTCAATCAACTACAGAATCATTTGTATCTATTCAGCCCTATCCAAGTTCATTTCAGCTATTCAGCCTAATTCGAGAGTAATTCAACATAAAAACAACAACAACATAGCCATTGACATCTCCCAAATGGTGTACCTAGACCTTAGCCCTTCCTCGCGTAGAGAGGTTGTTTCTATAGATACTCAGTCAAATTACAGCAAGTCAAAGTAGTTATGACGGAAATCCCAAATCAAGTACTACTAATATTTAGCCTTAGATTAACACAAACAAAATAAAAATCACCAACGCATATAACAAACAATCAACAGATCCAACAACTCCACTATAACAGCTAACACAGTAATTAAAAAACTACAAAAAAAAATCAAAAAAAATAATCAGAAACATGTCAAACCTACACCATACACAGCACATAAACTAAACTCACAGAAAAACACATAAAACACAGCAAATAAACAAACAAAACCCCAAATTCACAAGCAAAAGTAAAAAAAAAAACACAGGTAAACCCTCCGCCACCCACGGCG